GTGGAGCAACCAATGCTTTCTCCTATAAATATGTGGGAAGATAGCAATGTAGACACGTTTTAAGGCTTGTTTATGTGTTCTCTCCACTTGGACAGAACATCATCCATCATCCATTTTGTTACAGCTGATGTTTCTACTAATCTGTGATGTCATTAACTATCACATGACTCCAGGTATGTGTGAAAGGGGCCTCAAGAGAATACCTTAGTTCCGGGGTCCTCAATCTTGGACTTTTGATGCAGGGCCAGGTCACAGTCCCTCAAACTGTTGGAGGGCCGGATTATAATTTGAAAAAACAAAAACAAAAGATGAATGAATTCCTGTGTGGAGTATGCATATCTTATTTGTAGTGCAAAAAAACAAACAAACAAAAACAATACAATAATTAAAATGAAGAACAATTTTAACAAATATAACCTTATTAGTATTTAAGTGGGAAGTGTGGGCCTGCTTTTGGCTGATGAGATAGGATTGTTGTTGTTGTTGTTGTTGTGTGCTTTCAATTCATTCCAGACTTAGGTTGACCCTGAGCGAGGGCTGGGTAAATGACCTTAGAGTGCCGTATCCGGCCCTCAGGCCTTAGTTTGAGGACCTTAGATAATTTGGTGATATGCAAGTGATATATATATATATTAGCCGTCCCCTGCCACGTATTGCTGTGACCTACTCTGGTGGTCATGGGGGTTCTGTGTGGGAGGTTTGGACCAATTCTATTGTTGGTGGGGTTCAGAATGCTCTGTGATTTTAGGCGAACTACAAATCCCAGCAACTACAACTCCCAAATGTCAAGATTCTATTTTCCCCAAACTCCACCAGTATTCACATTTGGGCATATTGAGTATTTGTGTTGAGTTTGGTCCAGATCCATCATTGTTTGAGTCCACAGTGATCTCTGGATGTAGGTGTACTACAACTCCAAAACCAAAGGACACCCTTCCAGTATTTTCTGTTGGTCATGGGAGAACTGTGTGCCAAGTTTGGTTCAATTCCATCGTTGGTGGAGTTCAGAATGCTCTTTGATTGTAGGTGAACTATAAATCCCAGCAACTACAACTCCCAAATGACAAAATCCATTTTTTTAGTGAAGGACATACATTGGGTTGCTAGGTGTGTGCTTTCCCAATTTGGTGTCAATTCGTCCAGTGGTTTTTGAGTTCTGTTAATCCTACAAACGAACATTACATTTTTATTTATATAGATAATGTGTATAAAGGCTAGCAGATGAGCTTTTCACTAAAAAGTCCCTGAACAGTAGGGAAAGGAAGTCAGATGACTTTTAAAGCCTACCTTTTCACTTTTGTAGGTGATGTTCAGTGTCCTTCTGCGTAATCTTCTTGATCTTGTAAAAGGTTCTTCCTTCTAATACAGTCTATACCACCTGCAATATGCTGTCTCTGTGTTAACAAAGGCTGGCTTTGAAGCCCAGAAACTGCTGAGTTTTTTTCTAGGACTTCTCAGTTTCCTGTAGTGTTTAAAAGAGATAAGTAGCCATGTAACACGATGAGCTCAGGAGATGAGAGATACTGATGTGAAAGTGTTTAAAATAACCCTGCACCTTTGAATTTAAAAATTGGCACTGCCCTGTATTCAGATCACTTCAATTAAAATCTATCTTTTCCAGGTGGGATTCAGTTTCTGCTCTTTACAAAAAGAGCCTTTCTGTTTCTAGGAACAGCCATAGTGCACGCCTGCTTGCTTTTGTGGAAGCATACTGATTTGATTGCCAGTGAGCAGTAAGATTTGATAAATATATTTAGGTTACAGAAACCTTGGGCTTACAGTTTTAGTTTTATAGATCTTCTGGAAGGCAGAATGAAACATCTGTTTCCTGATTGTACTTTGATTGAACTACTCAACATTTTTTTTTAAAAAAACCTGATATTTCCTTTCATATGTGAGCCTTGTTGGCTTACAGCCCGAATCCCCATTTAGCCATGGAAACTCCCTGGATGACCTTGGGTACATCACACACTTTGATTCTCAAGTGAAGGCAAAGGCAAATCCCCCTCTTCAAAATTGAGGTGCACATTCCACTCGATGGCGCATTACACTCAAGTAAATATGATGGTGTGGTATTGATCTCTGTGACCTGTCATCACATATATTTCCCAGTGCATAGTTTTTTGATTGTTTGTTTTCGTGTCAGGAGCGACTTGAGAAACTCCAAGTCACTTCTGGTGTGAGAGAATTGGCCGTCTGCAAGGCCATTACCCAGGGGACGCCCGAATGATTTGATGTTTTACCAAAATCCTTGTGGGAGGCTTCTCTCATGTCCCCCGCATGAGGAGCTGGAGCTGACAGAGGAGCTCATCCATGCTCTCATCGGATTCAAACCTCTGATCTGTCGGTCTTCAGTCCTGCCGGCACAAGGGTTTAACCCATTGTACCAATGGGGGCTCCTCAGTGCATTGTTAAATTGTGACCGGTAGTGATTCTCTCCACCCTCCAAATTTTATAGGCATGGCTTACAAAAGAAACTGTATTGTAGAGATGGCCAATTACCCAACAAATATTATCTCTTCTTAGAAGAACTGTGTCTCTGTTAGACATTGTCAAACTGCTTAAGATGTTAGACTTGTAACACACATGACTTTAAAAAACAAGGAAACGTGGACAGAAGTGTATTGGAAGCTAAGCAATCATTTGAAGCTAAGCAAAGTCAGGTCTGGTTCCTACTTGGAAGGAAAACCATCAGGAAATATCAGCTGGTGTGGGCTACATTAAGAGGATGGCAATGAAAATGTATTGCATTTATAGGCCACCTTTCTCCCAGAATGGGTCCTAAGGTAGCTTCCAAAACAATTCAAAATTCACAATAAATTCACCTCTTATTCCTTGTCTAGGAAAACCTATGAAATGCATAGGTTGTTGTGATGGACAGGTGACTTGAAGGCATATTATAATTTGAGTGTTATCTCTGTGATCAGTAAAATGACAGAAATGCAGTATATTGTACATTTAACCATTTTGTCGTGTTCATATGATTTCAGCTGACTGTATTTAGCTGCCCACATAGCATGTGCTTTAGTTGCAAACTCTGTAAGACCTTTGTTTTGCAACTTATTATTTGACTGTTACTTTTATGTAGCTGATATAATAATGACAAATTATTTGTATGTTGATGAAACCATGCATTCTATATAATTTTAAACGTGCAGTGAATTACACACATACCCCAAATACTGTTTTTGCAGCATTATGTATTTTGTTTCACAGAATTAATGACCTCTTTGCCATCATACTATGTTATTGGGAAAGGGAGTTTTAAAATGAAGGTACAATTTTTTATCTGCTAACATATGATTTTGTGCTTGATACCATCCCCCTGAAGTACCTTTGACACCCTCTCAACTATATTGAGGTTTGCATTATATCTCCTCATTAAATCTGTCATATTCATGTTGTAATTCGTATTTTTTTCTTTTTCATCATAAATTTTTGAAAGATAATAGAAGCAAACTAGCACGATTGATCTGTTCACCAACATCTTGAAGATTTCATTTTCCCCTTATGTTCCAGCGTCTGTTACTCTTCAGTGGGATTTCACTGAATATCAATTAAGCAAGAAGGTGGAAATTTGGAAAGCAGCTACAGAAATTGATGGGATTTTAGCCAACTTAAATGCTGAGGATATTGATCCAAAATTGCTTGGAAATATTGTTTTGTTTTCATATTGAGTTTAAGTATATCAGCAATTCCTGATGTGTTTGAGAAAGACCCAATTATGTTTTATGTTTTAATTGATACTTGGCTCGCCTATATTACCATGGGAAGGAGAGTAATGTTCTAGTGGCTGTTTGTACCCACATGCAGAGAAGTTGGCTTGACTCGTCTTGTACGAAAACCGCCTAGCAGATGGTGCTTCAGTAGTAAGAGGCATCCCTACTCAGGTTTTAAGCATATTATGGAAGTCTACCAGACTGATGAATAAGCATCCCTTACCTGTGTTAGTAACAATTTTCCATCTAAATGGTGCAGTAGACAACCATCTGTCCATCCAGACTACACATCAAAGAAGATGGCTGCCTTTCTATTTTGACAGCTTCCGCTGTGAAATATATACATAATTTATAGTTAGCACATGCTTTCTGTTGTTGTATATTCAGTAAATACCGCTTTAATTTCTAAATACACCATTTTGGATGTCCTGGGTCATTTTTCCAATGAGTGATTGGCATGTGCCTGATGAAGAATACAATTTAGGTTTTTTGGGGGCAAGTTTGTAGTAGTCAATTGAGCTTTAATAAGAAACTGGGAAGTGAATGCATTAAATCAGTAAAACATATATCCAGTTGTAATGTAGAATTCATTCAGTCAGAGATTTCTGCTCTTCCTAAGACTTTCTGCATATATTTCTGATTTCAGTATTAATGTCAAAAATAAGTAGTATGATTTTACATTGGATTTGTGCATGTTCAACCACTCGGGGCAACATGTAGTTTGTTTTATTTCCGGAAAAGGAGTATGAGGCCACAGTAGCTAGGAGGTATATCTTGGTCTCAAATCGGTGGACCCCTTATTCTCCGGATATCTAGTCACGTTCCCCCCCAGAGTCATCTGAAATGAGATGAAGTTTCCTACAGATCTGTTTTCATACTTTGCCATATGGTGGGAAGCACAACCATTTTGCACCTCAAGGTGTTGCCCAGGCGTTCTACCACACGCTGTTTTGCCACTACTGAAACACAGTTTCCCAAATTGGTGATGGTGCCACCACCAACATAACTGTACTACTCAGAAGTGACACCTCTGCAAGTGACACTCTGGGCTTCCCATTGGGAGTGATGAAAGAGATCACTTGTGGGAGTGTATGTGACCCTAACTTCCTGATGCACACTAGAAAGTGCTATAATTAAGATACTATTGAATTGTGGTAGCAGTATGTTGGCAAATTCAGACCAAATACTGTACCACTCTTTCTCCATTTTTGCTGTAGAGTGTGTATAGCGACAAGAAATGTAATGTTGTCTTTTTTCTTATCGTTTCTCCACTATCTGCAGAATGTGACAAGCTCAGGAGAGATGGCTACAGAAGTTCTCAGTATTATTCTCAGGGTCCAACCTTCTCGTCTTCTTCTAGTGCAATCTGTGGAAGTTACCAAGATGATTACGAAGAAATTGAACCAAAGGTAAGGCAATTGGCACACAGTGAGATATTGTACATTGCACAGATAATCTAAAACGGATTCAACATAAAACTGCAGAATTGCAAAAGACACATCTGTTCTGTTCCATGTTGTAAAATGGTATGCTGAATCTTAAAGGCCATGCTGTCTTGGAAACATGAACTTTAGGTTCTATAATGCTGCTCAATTTACAGAGGAAATTAACAACATCCTTGGCAATGTTCCAGGCAAAGGCACTCACTGGTTTAAAAAAAACCATTTGATTAGGTTGTGTTCCTTCTGTGAAAAAATAGAAAATGGAATCATTGTTGCTTTATATAGTATTTACATTCAGATCTCATTTGGAACCTGTGTTTTAGCCATAGAAATATAATACGACCCCCTTACCTGTGAACTCAATATCAGCAATTTCACTTATCCACACTCCAAAATGTATTCTCTACTGGAAGTATATGTGGGCTTCTCTTAAGCCCTCCAGTGCAATTCTATGATATACCTCTGGCCCATGTATAGTCAACATATAGAGCTCATTATTATTCATGGTTCCACAAGGGGTCTTGGAATCTACCCCCCCCCCCTTTGGGGATATTGCAAAAGGTAATGGCAAGGTTACTCCTACTTCACCTGTTCCTTATTTGCCATTTATATGTGCAAAGCAGAATTGGACGGAAAAGAATCACAAATTTTTTCTCCTTTTGTAGAGCTGATTTTTAAGGCAAGGTTTATCTTTTTCATTGCCAGCAATTTTACCCCACAAATCTTTCCTCCCTACTCCTGTAGCCAAAATATCTCTTTCTCCTTTATGTGGCTTCACCGACTTTGTTTTCCTCTTTGAGTCTCCCCAGGGGTGAGAAAAGAGGTATATAAATACTGTAAATAAATAATAAATAATTTTCCATACTTCTACTCTTTTATGGCTCCATCTGTTCTCTTAATGTCCTGCTTCTTCTTTTTTGCCCAATCCCAAAGTCCTCCATTTCTGATGGCCATTCTCCTTGCACTCCCCCCTCCCTTCATTTGCACATCATTTCTGATTATCTCTTTATCTTTCCACCTTGCAAATTCACAATGCACAGTCACAACTCAATCATTACTAGCCTGTCTTTTTCTCAAGTTAGCCCGAAGATTTGCTACCATTCAATCAGGATGGCAGTATTTGAATGCTTCAGTTTCCCTGGAAGAAACAGAATGCATGCAAAGAAACAGAGACAAAGTGGCCATTGTAGCTTATTTAAAAACAACAACAACAACAAAAACAAGCAACCTGTCCCTGTTAATCCTGAAGTACTGACACCGTACTTTAAAAACAGTGAGCATGAAGATACTACTGGAGGACTCAGTGGTATCCTCAGCCCGGCATGCAACATGATCCCCTAAAGTCTGCGGTTACATGCACAGGCTATTTGTACTTGGAGAACTGTAGTGGATTACTTTCAAGTCAATCTGTCTAGAATTCAGTCAGTTTAAATTTACAGTAAACATTTTGTCTTAGCTAATTTCTGAACTGGCACTTTTCTGGGAGTGGGATGGAAAGTGAAGTTCTCTGTAACCCAGTACTTCCTGGCTGCTTTGTAACCTTGTTTTTCTTTGAAAAGGAAAAGATAACTAGTGTTCACTTGGACAAATGTTAAGATATTAAATTTGAGGGCATCATTATAATCTGAAGAGAAATTAAAATTATATGTCTGTGTTACTAAGGAGCAGTGTGATGACTTGAAAAAATGGGAGATTGTAGACATACCTAGTATCACATTGCTTAATATCAGACATGGGTAAACATTGACCCTCCAGGTGTTTTGGCTTCAACTCACACAATTTGTATAGGCTGCTAGGAATTGTGGTAGTTGAAGTTCAAAACACCTGGAGGACCGAAGTTTGCCCATTCCTGTTTAATATTATAGCACTCAAAACACGATCACTTTTGTCTGGCAAATAAACTTTTTTTCTGCCAAATGACTGTTAAATTATATTGTCGAAGGCTTTCAGTGCCAGAATCACTGGAGGGTTGTGTGGTTTCCAGGATGCATGGCTGTGTTCTAACAGCATTGCTCTCCTTTTGAGATGAGGAACCTCATTCTCCTTCTGTAAATCTGGCATTTGGAGATGGAATAATGCATGGAGCTGAGGAGATTTCTGAAAGAAGTATCATATATATTCATTTACGTCAGCCTCATATATAAGTCGAGGACAGATTTTGGGGCCAAAATTATGGATTTTGATAATGATAAGTCAAGGATCATTCTGTAGAGAGAGAGATACCAGTGCCCCCTCGTTACCACCATTTTCCCACTCTAGGCATTCAAAAAGAACAGAAGCAGAACTGTGGCAAAAATAGTTGATGAGGTTGGTGCTTCTTTTAGGTCCTCTCAGAAGGGATTTTCTTTTTGCCATTGTACACAGAGGTAGGGGTGCTTCCTTTTTAAAAATATAAGAGTTAAGGTACCATTGTTACATTGACACATGGGTAAGTCAATCCAGCTTTTTCATTGATTTTCTGACTAAAATTTCTAGACCTATACATGAGTACATAGAGTAATCAATATTTAACACATTTGTAAGAAAAGATCTTGAGGAGTAAGAGATAGCTTTGGAAGTTCTTCCTTTTTGCCATCCGAGGAGGCATTACTTTCCTGGCTGTTATTATTGACTATGCTGCTACATTAGGTAAGAAGGTAACAGATGGGTGGATGAAGGATTTAACATTTGAAGCCTAGAAAGCTTAGAATGTCCTGGCTAGACAGATAATAGTCTGGTTGGACCAAAGATGATCCACAACTTGGAAGATTTTTGTTTTGATTCATGAATTGTCATGCATCTTAGTTTTGTTCATGAATTGTCACTCAACCCACAAAGGTATTCCTTGGCCCAGATAGAGAGACACATTGCATGGAGCCATTTTTCAGTATGAGAATTGGCCACAATTCAAGTTCATAGCTTGAAAGCAGTATTTTTTTTTCTGGTAGCCTCTTATTGAATTGCAAGGTGTCAAAAGGTTATCTTTACAATTTCAACTCTGTATAGAACTGAAATGTAACGGTAGTTTTTAGGCACTGTGTGCTTTTCCCCATCAGGAATTCATTTCATGTGCTGTTTTTCATTCCTTTTCTTATCCAATGTCCCTTTATTTAAAACATGACATCCCAGTAATGCTCTTTGTCCTCCTGGTTCTTTCTTCACCACAAACCCATTTGTTTTACATCAAAAAAATGCATTTTCAGGTGGCCACTTTTATCTACTTTCTGAAATTGTGCCTACTATGCTTGTTATATATACTTTGTCTGTTGTGTCTTTTTATTTGTGTGTGTGTTCCCCATTTCCCTTTCTTTGCCACTCATTCACTTTCTTTTTCTCTCTCACTCAACAGTCTAGTCTGTTAGACTGCCTCCCTCAGTCTTGCCTTAATGCCTGCTGTTGTTTGATTCCATGGAAAATCAAGGTATCTAGCCCAAAACTGGGCTCATCCAGCTGTAATATCTGCAGCTTGATGTAGCTGTCATATTGCAATAACCTCGAGTCTGACTTGTGCTTTTATTTTGAACTTTCACATACTACTACTGCTTTTTTCTTTGCGCAAAACAAATATTATAATAACAATAGTACTATTTTCATAATTGCTACCGCCTCTGTTGGCAGCTGGGAACCCTTATTTGGATAATTAATGAACAAACTTATTTTTTAACAACATATTTTGTTAACACTAGCTGCCCATGAAATTGTGTATTATGTGTTTGTAATATACTAAAGTTAGTAATCTAACGTGATTTTATTGGTGATTATAATGTTTATATGCTTTAATTTAATTTTAAAATTTTAACTTAAATGTATTTAATTGTTTGTTTTCTAAAGGCATCGAATAGTTGCCATTTGTAAAGCTGCCTTGTGTCTCCTTCGGGGTAGAGAAAGGAAGGATATAAATAGAGTAAATAAATTAATTAATAATCTTAACCATTCTGAACTTTCTCATAAATTAGATTAGTACCATAGTGTGTGTTGCGTACTGCACAGTAATTTATTGAATGCTACAAGTTATATGTATTTGAAATGAAAAACAATTATTGGTGTATTTGGTTTGTTTTACCCTAAGAATCAATACACGTGATAGTTATAATTCTCCAGCATAAAAGGACCACCCTGCAGAGCTGACTCTGCAAGACATATTTCCAAGATAAACAAAGAAATAAAATTCTCTTTTCTCTCAGGCATTTCCTGGGTTTTGGTTGTGTTTTGCAAAATGCAGCAGAGTGAGGAACATACTTTTAACTAAACATTTGAAGAGAGACACTGTCTTCAAAGATATGTAAGAGATGAAATTCTTCTGGAGTCATGTCCATATGTAACTCAAGTATACATGTGTGCACATCTTGTTTTGGATGCCCCATAAGAAACTCTTCAGTAGCTCATGTCCAAGACCCTCCTCAAGGCAGTTGTCATGCCCCAAGGGCACTGACATGGCCATTTACCAGCTGAGGGAGGAAAACAGAGCAGTGACTAGAGGAGGCTTATTCTAGCTTCAATTCACCGGCCAGCAGAAGAGAAATGAGATAATTCTGAATTTCCAATGAGTTGCTGAAGATCCAGTAGAGTAACCTAATTTGTCTTGCCCCATCTGCAATATTCAAAAACATAGCCATGTTAGTCTATGCAGACATGCCATTATTGCACCTTAGAAACTTCCTTTGATTTCATAGATTTCTGCTAGCAACTTTGTCCTCTTAGCAAATCTTAGCATGTCTGCATTTTCTGGTCAGTAAAGGTATTAGCACCCCCAGGGCCAGATAGTTAGTTGCTTGGGTGGGGAAGGAACTACATAATACTGCAGATATGGAACAGCATGCCCTACTCTCTGTAGTAAAGGATCTTGTGCAGAATATATGGGAGAAGAGCAGTCTCTTAATACATCTCTGATAGGATAGACTCCATACAATTTTATAAAACACAATGTAATTGTATTCATTTATCTGGAAATACACACACATACTCATTTTGTTTTGCCTTCTCATTGTTTGAACTTAATAAAGCATTATCTGAAGGTGTAATCTTAGAAGAAGGAATGTAAAAAATAAATAGGAACTGAAATAAGTCTAATTTTTACATCTTAGAAAGAACAACACCTTCCCTCCATTTCTGGAGTGGTGTAGTGGTTCGAGTGTTGGTTTAGCATTCTGGGAGAGAGTTCAGATCTTCTCAGCCGTGGAAACCTTCTGGCTGACTTTTGGCAGATCCTATCCCATTGCATTTTTGAGAGAAATGTATGGCAAACCCCTCCTCTGAATAATTTTTTCCAAGCAAACCCAGGGATAGGGTTGCCATAAGTCAAACAGCAATTTCTACTAATAGCGGTTTTCTGTTCATTGCATTTAGAATCATAGAATCATAGATTCTATATTTATTGCAAGTGAAATATAAATAGACCAAATTGTCATCCGAAAGTTTGGGATATCTGAATGTTTTGAAAAGAGAAAAGTGTATATCGTAAATATAGCCTTAGAAAGGAACATTTAGAAAATAAATTAACGATTTTGTCTCTTTTGTAGTAAGTCTATACTTTTTTGTGCATTCACTGAATCAAGTAAATTAATAGAATCATCTTATGTGTATGTGGAACTTCCACTTTGTTCATTCAGGCTTACTTTGAACATTCTGTCTTCTGGTACATGGCCAACAAAGCTAATCAATATGAAGAACTAAAATTTGAAATTTTGTTATCCCCACAGATAAGTATAGTAAAATAATGTGATCAAATTAAATTAAAAGGATCCTAGGTAACAAGAATTCCAGTCTGGCCACTTTCTACCACCATTTGCCTCCCCAAGTAGTTCTTTTTACTTGGCTAAAGAATATTGGGCTAATGAAATTAAAATATTTAATGTAGTAAACATTAAATCTTTGAGAGATTTAAGCAAAAAAATAATGCTTTATCAGAATAACTTTATTTGCTCTATTTATTGGCTGGATGGTTGCTTTACTTCCAGTATGTTCCCTCTCTCTCTATTGTCATCTTCCTGACCAGTGTTTTATGTTACAGCTGCTTTTAAGAAATGTTTTTTTCCTTGAAAAAGGGGAAAATCCTGGGGCATCCATTTCCATCTTCATCTCTTATCATGTCCAGAGTGCCCCTGGTAACTGGCTTATGGCAGCTAGGTTTGGGGATACAACACAGGGTCAACATAACATGACAGCTATTTATTTTGACAGTGTCAGCCAACCAGATAAAAAATAGGTTAGTGGGGCTTGTCATGACCAAGCACCATGCTTTAGGAAAACCCTCTTTGGAAGTTTAAGGAAGGCAAACTTTTAAAAGATAGATCACAGTTGCATAATATTTTAGCTTATCTTTCTGTCTGTGGGACTTGAAAATAAAATCTTACAGGAGATTTCTTAATCTAGCAATTGCATTGTCTCCTGTTTTGTGCAAGTCATATCTGTAGAATATACTCTGGACCTGTGAAATGGGCAAAAAGCTTTCCTATTTTCTCCTCTTGTAGTAAGTATACTATAGTATAGTCATAATATGTTCTACTTAATGCTTGAGAATCTCTTCACTGCAATGGTCCTTTGATTGAATACAATAATACTGCTTTGTAATGTTCATGTTCTGTGTTTCTCTCAAAATAAGGAAGTACAAACAAAAGAGGAAGTGGAGTTACCTTGTAGTGATTTTGTTGCTTGACAAAATTTATAGATGTATTTTAATACAAAAACACATTTCTTATAAAAAAAATGTCCCTGCTGAATCAACTAAGGTCAGCATCCAATCATCATATTTGTGTGTCTGGAGTGACTTGAGAAACCACAAGTTGCTTCTGGTGTGAGAGAATTGGCTGTCTCCAAGGATGTTGCCCAGGGGACACCTGGAGGTTTTGATGTTTTACCATCCTTGTGGGAGGCTTCTCTCATATCCCCGCATGGGGAGCTGGAGCTGACAGAGGGAGCTAATCCATTCTCTTCTTGGATTTGAACCTCTGACCTGTCAGTCTTCAGTCCTGCCAGCAGAAGGGTTTAACCCATTGTGCTATTTGCATTTTGCTATGAAGAATATTTTCAAATCATCAGAAAAGCAGAGGATGCAAGTTATGTTATAATTTCAAGCACTCCGATCTCTAGTCAAAAATTAACTCATACATATCAGAGTCTGAAGTTGCATTATCTGATAGGATAATGATTACTTTTAATCATTATGCAATCTGCTAGTAGCTGTTGTGTTCTTGGTGAATTAATGCACATATTGTTGAACATACTGCACATGTTGTCAGTGGGAATGTACTTTGTTTATTGGAACAGAATATCCATCTGATTAGTTTTCACTTTTCATTACACAATAAGTTCTTAAATTTAATCAAGCAAGTTTTCTCAAACATAAGTGAATCTTCAGCTGTTGCTTTTGATTGATAATGTGCTGGAATGGGATTAGGATTTGCATGTGGATTGTGAAGATTCCTTTCTTGATAGGACACAACAGGAATGGTTCAATATTTATTTGTCCCTAAAAGCAAATGGTGGATGTTCCAAAAGAATATATTTCAGTGTCCGTTGAATTAGCAGGCATGTTTTTTAAATGTATATCTTGCTTTGAAGAACCTTCTGAGATTTTTTTTAAATGCAGAAAATTCAAAAGATGCTCCTGTTGTTTCATCTTTATTGGCTTCCAAGACAAAAGAGTGGTATTTTCATTTGGAATAGATAGAGTTGGACTTGGATTTTATTATCTTCTAGTTTAGTATCAGAGATAAGGACTGGCAGATAAAAAGTCTAGGTCTCTTAGTCACTGCATGCACTTATGTGAGAGGTTTTAGGACAGATTAATAATTCAGTGATGCAGAACTTCTTTCAATTTAATTGAGAGTGGTGTATTCCGGTAGTGGGCTGAACTAAAGGCTAAGGAGTGGGATCAAAAAGGGTAATCTTTTTTGGTAGCTCTAACTACCAATGAATGAACCTTAGAAGAGGCAGTTCACTTTTCGTAGAATGGGAGGAAACCTACAAAAGCCAAGAAACCTATCAAATAATGAGGCTGGAGATTAGGCGATCTAGTGAACCCATGAAAGTCAGACTGTGACATTAAGAGGACTGGATTTGTTCTTCCTCATGTTCAGATGGAATCTCCTCTCTATTAGTTATAGTTACCCACACCCTTTATATTTCAGAATATTATTGTGAAAAGGTTTTAAACCACATGCTCACACAACAACTGGAGAAAGTTTTTTTTTTAAAAAAAGGGTTCATGTTAGATGGACGAAGGTCTGAGTGAAGCCCGTTTTGTTACAATCAGACAAAGTCAGGAAAGTGATTTTCATATGCTGTATGTGTTCACTTTGAAACAAATAGTTTTATTATATAGTAAGATAAATTTGTAAGAAAATAACATTTGCGATGAATTTTTGTCATGTTTTCTTTTATAGTGTTCAACCCCTTCTCCTGAAGAGGAAAAGCTTCTTAGCATCAAGAGACCCAAAACACCAGTTTCAAATGAATTCTCTGATATCAACACTCAAACAAATTGGACGAAATCACTTCCATTGCCAACACCAGAGGAGAAAATGCGGCAGCAAGCTCAAGCGGTCCAAACTGATGTTATACCTATTAACGTAACAGGTAGGCTTTTTATTATATTGCTATGTGGTGAGGAACAACAAGGGATCTTGGTTGATTTAAATGCTTATTTCACATGAAACAAATTAAAAGGTTGCATAAAACCTGGAGTGAAAATTGACTATAAAGTACTGATAACATTGCTAGAGAAATATGAAGGAAGAGAAACATGGGTTCCTTGGATTTTTAGGAAGAATGATGGTAACATAATGCCTTCTGTGTCATGTATGAGTTCCCGCTGTTAGCCCTAGCTTCTGCCAACCTAGCAGTTCAAAAACATGCAAATGTGAGTAGATCAATAGGTACCGCTCCAGTGGGAAGGTAACGGCGCTCTATGCAGTTATGAATGACCTTGGAGGTGTCTATGGACAACATCATCTCTTTGACTTAGAAATGGAAATGATCACCAACCCCCAGAGTCAGACACGACTGGACTTAATGTCAGGGGAAAACCTTTACCTTATCATGTATGTAAAACTGTATTCCTAATGGAAAGATTTATGCTCATTATGAGCGGTGTGTTGAGATATAAAAACTTGGAGAATAGTTTTTTCTTTAGTTAATTTTTGCAACATTTTTTCTTGAAATATTGCAAAGTTTGAGTACAGTATTACCTGACCAAGATACCTAGAGTTGGAAGATCACTTGGGATTACCCAGGGTTAACACCTTGCACATTGTTCCTTTGCTGGGACAATTTGAGAGTGGCATACTAGTGTTCCTTTCTAACCTCAACCCGTTCCCCCCCCCCCCCATGGTTCTGCCAGTAGATGCTTTCTCAGTGAATCTCTGGGATCAGTAGGCAGAAGGGGATTTCTACTGATAGAAGAGGCTTGCCCTTAATCCTATCTCCTCYCCCCCCCCCCCCACCTCCCCGCCACTACATCTTCCAAACAACAAAGCATATTTTAAAATTCACTAAGCTTTCCCATAATCTTGTTTGCAGGACTTGTATAATCATTAAATTAATATTTTTAGTTTCTATAGTGACAGTGGGATTCCTTATGATTTTGAGATAAATTATGCTGATAAAATGACCTTTTATAGCCAAAGGCAAAAACTGTTGACAAAGTGTGACTATGGAACATAAAGTCAAACATGTTGTCTCTTCAGAGAAAACAAATCCAAAATCCACAGCTGGAAGACCAACTAAAATATCACAAAATTGCAAACAGATTTTCACAATCTCCAGAGCTTTTAATCAGGTCAAGTGAGGAAGGGAGTAGAAACTGCCTGGTTCTTAAATTGTCAAAGAGAAATGGTAAAGAACCTGGGACTCCTAGACTCACACATCGGTTAGCATGGCCAGTAGTTGGCGAAGTGATCCAACAATATTTGAAGGACTATGTGTTTCTCTCTCTTGCCATGAAGTTGCATTGACCACAATCTGAATACTGAGTTTGACAAAATTGGGTTGTAGACTTCGTTGGATTTGATTGTGCTAACTCCTGTGTGGATTTCAGATTATATCTAAAGATGCCGGGGAACTTTGATACATACAATGTTGGAGTCTATATTTTTGAAAATGTAAAGTTCAGTATCTGTCTCCATCCTTAAACAAAACACACAATATCCTTGGGGAGTTGATAGTTAAAGTAAAGAGACACCTGATAGATTTTCTACAAGCAATGGTGGTGATTAATGCTATTGAGGTCCTTTGTGCAGTTGTGCACCAAAGGAGGAAAATAACACTAGAACTGTATTCTTTTTCCATTGAAAAGGGAGAGTTGCCAATGTCTCCTCCTTCTCCCTGATGCCCTGCTGTTAAAAGGTTGTGTGGCATCTTTATCAGAATGTGGCCACAATCTGGCTAGTCTGTGGCATATGTAAGGATATCAGTTACTGTCTACTGTACTTTTTATATTGAATAATAAATAATAATAAAACAATACAGTTGAATACTAATAACTTCTCTCAAACTGGGTGAATTATTACCTCAATATAGATCTCCCAGGTTCATGACAACAGTGGTGAAAGAGAGGGAAGGAGTAAATTTCCTTAATTTCCAGTTCCATTTTCTTCATCTCAACCCCCTCCTCCATTATAAAACTGTGCTTTTGTCATTGAAAACAGTGGGGGATGGGGAGTCCTTAGTGGGATGTGTATAGAAGCCAGGAAAGTGGAAAGGCTTAATATCCTGCAGATCCATTTTCTCATGCAGTGGCCTTGATCCATCCTCTTTCTACATTCAACATCAGAGATCCAAAATGGTGCATGTAAAGCAGTGGTTCCCAACCTTTGGGCCTCCAGGTGTTTTGGACTTCAGCTCCCACAGTTCCTAACAGCTGGTAAGCTAGCTGGGATTTTTGAGAGTTGAAGCCCAAAACACCTGGAGGCCAAAAGGTTGGGAACCACTGATGTAAAGAATGTGGACATTTCTGTAATTCTGGGAAGAAGGAATCAGAGGTCAGACCTGACCTCTGATGATCATATGGATTCACAGTGCCTTCCCACACACTGTAGCACTGCAGCCTAAGCTGTTACTACAATGAACTGACATTATTTCATTAACAACCAATTAACTTGGATACCTATTATTTTATATTATTATTTAAGCTCTGGAGTTGGCCAAGTCTGCTTTGGAGACTAAGGCGCCATTCTGCATCCTTCTGTATGCAATGAGACTTACTTCTATTTCTGTCTTGGTGTGTTATAAAAGGAAGGAGGGTTATATATGTTATTTCAGTGCCTCTCTATCTAACTGATACATTTAGGCTAGAACATATATTTGTGCCAGGCCTTTCCATAAAAGGATAATATTTACATTTATACTATTACCTATTGCAGTAGTTTGTGCTCCTCTCCACAGTGTGGTGTTAGCATGTCAGAAAGAAAATATTAACTCTAAATATGCTTAATCAGAAATTAAGATCCCTTTAAAAGAGATTAATTAGTAATGACTGTGACCTTTCACTCAGTTGAACAACAGATGAAACACCCCCCCCCCCCCCCCCCCCCCCCCCCCCCGATTTCATCTGTCAGTGCTTTTTAAGTAGGACAGATTGTGGGATTGCAAGTCTGATAGATAACCTGAACCTGTTGGGGGCATGGCATTAATCTGACAAGCTTCTGACTGGCTATCCAGGTTTCGGAATGGATTTAGTTTCTTGGGTCAGCAGGAGCTGAGCTTGCTTTGGAAAGGATATAAGGTTGGCAGCATATGCTTTTTAAACACTGTGTTCTATTTGTTAATCCTGGGATATGTTGTGGTATTGGCTGTGGGTCTTATTCAGACACAAAGGGAAAATAACAGGATCTGGTGATGGTTCTGCTAAATGAAGGCACAAATAAGAGATAAATGATGTCATTCTGCAAATTACTGAAGCACATGCTTATCTCATATTGGGTTCACTGGGCCACATATTAATAAACAGACATATTTAAGTAGCTTTGTGTAAATATTCTACCCAATAGAGGCTATAACCTCTACTTTGATATTTAAAGGAAGGCTATTGACCCAAAACAGTGTCTCCCTTCTTTCTACTCAAAGAATAACAGTCTACTCCCTACTGGATGTCTAGCAAAACAGACCAGTAGTTTGAAACCCTTGCTGAAGATCTCACTGCCTCTCACTTTCTCACCTTCCATATTCCCAGAGTTTCAGAGGTTTCACTTAACAAGAACAGCCTATCTCTGGACTCAAATAACTGAGGATGGAGTAACTGTCTCATAGCCTTTGCTCTTCTATTCCAGAGACATTTGAAACATGTTACAAATTAGTGTGCATTGTGTAACAGTGGCCACACACAACAAAATTCTAGCACATGCCAAGGAAGCTTTTCAGGGAGAAATAACTTGGCTATCCAGATATTCAGAATGGATTTGAAGAGAGTTTATATACATCCGACCTTTCCTTTATGTGAATTAAATAAGAATAAAATTATATATAATATAATTGTATCTTAAGAAAACATATATATTAACTATTCTGTGAATTTCTAAGAATTGAAAAATCTAAACTAAGGAGGGACAAATTAGGGAGATTTTAACTTCTAAATACATATAAACATTTTAACTAATCAGAACTAAGCTTTATTTTTCCAATTGCCAAGTTATTAACTCACTGAAAAGCTAATATATTTAAAGCTATTCAGCCTGTAGTAGTGCTGCTGGTTTTAGTTACGATACAATACACAGTCAGCTTTAAGGCTTTCTCACATGACATGCACTATGTAAGATTTTGGGTTGATTACAACTCAGGTTGGTCAGATAGATTGGATGTAGTTGAGATACCATTTTAGTCTATGTCTAGTTAATACTACTAGCAGTTGGCATGGCTATTTGGATTCAGAATAAAATAGAAACTTGAAAGCCTTTTTGATTACGATTAAATTTAATTTGAGAAGCTGTCAAGTTCTATCAATCTGCTCTTGAAAAAAAACCCCTCTTATTTTAAATATAGTAGAATTTTCAAAGATACTAAACTTAATTTGGGCAAACCTAAAATATTTTCAAAATTGACCTTGATCTCATATTCACTTTCACAAGTCTTTATTTGCCTCATGTCTATCAATATAAGTGAAATGTGCAAATAAGCATTTTTAGCATCGCAGGGTGCACTTGACAGCTTGCTGATAGGTTTAGATAACAAGTTCAGTTTTGAAAGACAAACATTTGTTGGGAGCATATATATTTAAGCCTTAAAGTGACTGTGTGCTGTATCTTTTTCCTTCAGTGTATATCCACCCTGTATGACTGAGCTAACATCATATAATTAATGCCTTTTCTTCATTTCTACAATAAGCAAGTGGAAGAAAGTGCATGATGTCAGCGTGCTTGACAGTAATGGTGCTTTGCTTGTTCTACTGTACATCAGGGGAGAACTTTGACCGCCAAGCCAGCATACGGAGGTCTCTAATTTACACAGACACTGTGGTAAGGCGGCCGAAGAAAGTGAAAAGGAGAAAGACTATTACAGGAATTCCTGACAACATCCAAAGAGAGCTAGGTATGGCTCATCAGCACTGTATTCCATTACAATTAATAACTACTGCTGACATTAACTAAAATCATAACATTTACCTGTGCCCATGAAGCTGATACAGTCTGATAGCCTGTCAAAATTTCCAAATGAATGTGCAACTGATCACTGAGAAAGTATAGGTAATGCATTAACTGATTAGTTTGCCCCAACATAAAATAGAAAGGATTTTTTTTGCTGATTTTATTGAACGCTGTGCATACTGTGATTTTTGGAACTGTTAAATTTGACCGGAATTGTTAAATCTCTGGTAATGTAACAGCTATTTCAGAAAGGCTTAAATATATATTTGGGGATTATGTCTGTGTGTGTCTGTCTTGCACTGCTTTTACAACTAGTTAACAGAGGAAATACTTGTAACCAGATTTGACAGAAAGGTAATCAATAAGACTTTTATAAATGTATTGTTAATCTGTTGATATATTTAGTAGGAAGCAGATTTACATTAATCAGTACTACTGTTGATAGATTCAGTAGGAAGCAGATTTACATTTTTTCTAATATTCAAGGTTACTTCACACATTATGATTTTCCTACAAAGATATTCCTGTTGCACCCCAATATGTTGCAGGAAAGAAATCAATATATGAGACCCATGGTCCTGTAAACACAGTCCAGTGTCAGTTTAGGTCATGTATACATAAAATATCAATAAAGGTATAGAGTACTGTGAAAATTGGCTTGCATGATGGCTTAATATGTTGGTGTTGCAAAACAGATAGAAGAATCCCACTTTTTCTAAGTTTCAAAGTCGACAGTTTTACTAATATCTAAAAACCTCTCCCATCTCCCACAATGTAATGTAAACCATTTTATCATCCTCAGTTCTACCATATAATACTAAAACATCCTGAAAATGTATAGCATCACGTATCTGGAAGAGGTTGTTCCAAAGGGTTGTTGTAAGTTTTTCAGGCTGTATGGCATGTTCCAAAAGCATTCTCTCCTGACGTTTTGCCTGCAACAGACCTCACAATGTCTGAGGATGCCTGCCACAGATACAGGCGAAGCGTCAGGAAAGAATGCTTCTGGAACATGGCCATACAGCCCGAAAAACTTACAACAGCTCAGTGATTCTGGCCATGAAAGCCTTCGACAATACGTTGTTGCAAGGAATTATTTTTTTCTACTCTGTTGTAAACCAGATGTTGATGAATCAAATCTATTTAATAGGCCTGTTGTTAGCCCTTTGGGTTTATTTTACTCTTTTTATAGACTATTTTTAAATGCAGAATCATGGAAGTTTTTTTGGAGCCTCCAGTGGTGCAGTAGGTTAAACTGCTGAGCTGCTGAACTTGCTGACCAAAGGGTCAGCTGTTTGAATCTTGGGAGTGGGGTGAGCTCCTGCTGTCAGCCCTAGCTTCTGCCAACCTAGCAGTTTGAAAATATGCAAATGTGAGTAGATCAGTAGGTGCCACTCCAGTGGGAAGGTAACAGCGCTCTATGCAGTCATGGCCTTAGAGGTGTCTACGGACAACGCCAGCTCTTTGGCTTAGATATGGAAATGAGCACCATCCCACAGAGTCAGACTCGACTCTACTTAATCTAAAAGGGGAAACCTTTAGCTTTACCTATGGAAGTGTTTTCTTTAGAGTTATACTCCACATAACTTGGGGATAAGTCTAACTCAATGTTATATAGTGAGGAGGAATTCCTTGACATGGAGTGTTACTTCTGGCATCATCTCTATGTCAAATACTGAAAGCAATATTTCCATTTGGTCAGAAAATGGTATTTTAACAAATGTCTGCTTTTGTGTGTTGTATGGTAGATTTAATTAAAATGTTCTCTTTATGAATCTTTACATCAGCCTGTGTGGCTTGTGGTCAAGTCTGCCAGAGGACCTAGGAATTCTTAGAGAGAATGCCTCTCTAGAAAGATCTGGTCCTCTAGTGTGATTTTATGGGCAACATAAGGCAGAAGCTGACTCCAGTGGATGTGGAGGCCTGGCTGTATAGCCCATCTTTTAGTCAAATGACCTCAAGACAGCTTATTAAAATTATATCCAAGCACATGTACATCTCACAACACCAGTCCCATCAGTAGCATTAATTGGTCCTCCAGCTAATGAGTGAGACCAGAAAGTGCTTCCCTTTAGTTCCGTAGGACCGGCATGACTGATCAAGTGCTCATTCTAGCAGAGAGGGGGTAAGCAAGCTGTTGGATACATTAGATAGGTTTTGACTTCATCATCAGGGCCATATCTAGGAAATTTCAGGGGGGGTTGAAACCTGCCTCCTAGCTTACGCTGTAGCAAAGAGCACAGCAGGGGGCAGAGCAGCCTTCAATAGCCTGCAGCTCCGCCCCTGTCAACCACTTCCACCAAGTCTGGCCACCTTAATGAGACCATTCAACCCCCCCCCCCCCCAACTTGGTTGCTTCACTACATCGGCTATTGCTGCAAGTAATGACAGTGTGAATAAATTATCAATATTTACTTGAGATAGTGCTTGCAGTTCTGAAGGGATTCTTAATTTTTTTGCATCTCATAGTCTTAGCATGGGGATTTGGTTAACCAGTTAAAATTCATGAGTAAACCGGTTTTTTAAAAAAAATCTGAAACGGGGGGGGTTGAACCCCTAACCCCCCCCCCCCCCCCCCAGCTACGGGCCTGCTCATCATCATACTCTTCCTGTGAGATAGGATGTGCAGCATCCTCCCACTGGTCACTGGTGCCCTTGTTGGAATTAACAAACCACCTCTTTTTAGCTACAGCAGTTACTAATCATGCATACATTATTCCAGCTTCTCATACATGTGCAAAGGGCTCTATCCATGCTAAAATTTTCTTAGCCATATTTCCACAAGATTAGCTGGAGCCCCCAGTAGCACAATGGGTTAAAACTGCTGAGCTGCTGAACTTGCTGACCAAAAGGTCACCAGTTTGAATCCGGGGAGCAAGGGTGAGCTCCCACTGTTAGCCCCAGCTTTTGCCAACCTAGCAGTTCAAAAACATGCAACTGCGAGTAGATCAATAGGTACTGCTCCAGCAGGAAGGTGACAGCACTCCATGCAGTCATGCTAGCCACATGATCTCTGAGATTACTACGGGCAAATCCAGCTCTTCAGCTTAGAAATGGAGATGAGCACTAACCCCCAGAGTCGAACACGACTGGACTTAATGTCAGGGGGAAACCTTTACATTTACCTAGCTGGAGTCAGCATATGAAGATTCTGACAGAGTTCATTAACCCTCGAAGGAGGAAGGCGCAAACTTGTGCCTCCATGAAGATTTATGGTGCCGTGTCTTGTGATTGATTTTAAATCAGAAACTTTTTTAGGCCACTTGGCCAAGTTGCATGTTTCACTTCAGAAGTGAATAGGCATAATTTCACTATTAGTTTGCTTTTTTCTCTTTCAATTATTCCCTCATCTCCACTGTCCTTTTGATGAGACTCGACTCAAGAATGATCAGACTGTTTTCCTCGTGTGAAGCACCTTAATACAATTTCTTACTTGAGCCTATTGTGCTGGAAAAATCCTTAAAGGTCACATTCTCACTACACCAAAGCTCCTAGTAAAACCACACTGACATTCATTGGGTGAGCGTTCCCATTTTTGCTGTTTGGAACATAGAGGTACTTCAGAATAAGCTAAATACGCTGCAACTGTGCGCAAAGATTTCATTTTATTTGAAATGGTAAAACCAAGTTAACATTTCATAAATGCCCTTGTCCTTTGGTTTTTTCCCATTCTTTCATTCTCTGCTGTCCTAATGTGCTTTATGCCAAGGCAAACAGCAAGTTGAATGTAGCTTGAACAGCTATTAAAATTGATGGAAAGAATGCCCTTACTTTTTCACAGTCCACTTACACTGAACAATTAAGATAACTGTAAATCTCTGAGAAGCAGCTCCTTATCTGGAATGCCATAAAAACCCTCTCATGAGCAACAGAGAAGCAGGCAGTTCAAAAGGCTTGTGTTGTTCATTTGCAGGGACCTGCAACACATCAAATAACAAATTTTACCCAGGCCCTTTTCTGTTTTTCACACCATAACAGTGAACATTGGATTTATTAAAATACTGTTTTAACATAGTTTTGTGCAGTTTCTCAAGTCGCTCCTGATACACATAAACACACACACACACACAAATCAGACATGTCCCAATATTTTTATGGTGCAATGGCTTTCTGCAGTAGAAATAAAGATGTTTTGTTATCCACATATGTGTAGAAAAAACTGCCTGAAGGCAGAGAGTCTGAAATGATTTTGAATTATCATTTAACCTTATTAAATTGCCCTTTGTTACTTTTTCCTGAAATTTGCTTGCCAATGTGAAAGGAGCAGTTTAGATTTCCACTGGCTCTGCTTAGTCACTTTGCCATCCACACAAAGCAGATGATGACCTACCTACCTTCCTCCATCTGCACTGCAAACAATGGCTGTTCACTAATTAGGAGGCCAATTCTCCATCAGATTCTCCCCCTGAGATTCTGTTCATCCTCGGTGAAAAAGGACACGTTATGGCCCAATTTCATTTTGAGTCTAAACCAGAGTAATTGGAAACTACTGAGTCAGATTTGCCATTAGAGCTCATTTTTCTCACATTTTAAAATCTATCCCATTTCCCTTGAAGATTAAAGGGGTTCTGGGGAGCAACCTCAGGTTCTGCATTACTGTTTGAGACCCACTGCTTCCAACAGCGGAATTGTTATCATAGTAAACCCAAATTAAATATGTTGTCCCTCCATAACCACGGATTCTACGTTCATTGATTCAACTATCCATGGCTTCAAAATATGCCCCCCCCCCCAATTTCAAAAAGCAAATCTTGATTTTGTCATGTAGTATAAGGGACACCATTTTCCTACACAATTGTATGTAGTGGAACTTGAGCATCCATGGATTTTGGTATCCATGAGGGTCCTGAAACCCAACCTTAGTAAATACCAAAAGTCCTCTGTATAGTTATGATAGATATCAGTAAAAACCTTTCACAATTGTGGTAAATAGTTTGCAGAATTATATAGATTTCTTGGAATCCCATAGTTTTTTTGGAATAGAAGATGGCAGTGAAACTTTAGACAGAGTTTCCATAACACAAAACTTGGGAAACAACTCTTCTTCCACTAATAGTTTGGAGTATTGTATCAATTGTTCACATTAGGGATTATGTGATATGTCTCTCATTTTTAAAAATATACAACTCATGAAATATTGTGTTAATTGTGTTTATACAATGTGGCCTTCTGGATATAATAGTGATAATTATGATTAAAAACTAGTTTAAACTAAATTGTACAGTAGGCTAACATGCTGGTATTGATTGTTTCTAGTTTCTTTTTTACCCAATGAGTAGATTATGGCAGCTAATCTCATGATATATCTCTTTCTAAAATTTCCTACACCATTTGTAAGAAAGCTTCATGGATGTCTTCAGGGCAATAAGTTCAGTGCAGTGCTTGACAATTATTTTGCTAATGAACACAACTGCTTAAATGTGATGAAATCTTTGTTTATGTAATACTTGTTTTGTTTTAACTCCCAACAGTCGGAATTGTTAAAAGTGACTTCCGTGGCCATTCATTGTATGTCCCTGAACACTATTCTACACTAGGAAGACTTGAGAGCTATCGCTCTTCTTCTATGCAGAACTGTGACACCAAGGAATCCAGCTGTCAGACAGAGGAAGTCAAAGTGGTGCCACCTTCGGTGAGGCGGATACGTGCACAGAAAGGGCAAGGGATTGCAGCCCAGATGTCTCAGTTGTCAAATTCTTCTGGAAACATGTCTGTGATGAGTGACTCTGCTGGAGTAGTCTTTACTTCTCGATTGAATAATGACTTGGGTTTCCACAGTCTACCTCGATCTGGGGCAAGAGTGTCCCTGCAGTTACTGGAACGTAGACATAGCCTTTCTAAGTCAAGAGAAGATGGAACTTTGTCACACCAGATAAACAGACTGCAAGTGGCAGATAGTACAGAATACATGAGGAATGACAGTGAGGTAGATTTGCTTCAGGGGTCAAAGTCTCAAGAGGCAAGGTGCTCTGAGGGTGAAAATCCAGCATGCCTGGTCTCTCCACATGCTACATATTCAACTAGTGTCATTCCAAATGCCACCCTATCATCCTCTTCAGAAGTGATTGCTATTCACACTTCACATGGTGCTGGACCGATGGATGGTAAAATCAACAGCTCCTCTTCATATTCCAAGCCTAGGGACAATCTGGTTGCCAACAGAATGGTGAAAACAAAAGATCCACACCATTCTTCCAGTGGTACTTGGAATGAAACCAATTCAACACATAACTCACAACCCTCAGATCTTACTGTTTCATCACATTCTGTGAAGGTGCTTGCTCTTGGAGATTCAGGAGTATCTCTTAGTGATGCAGGAACTTTGGGAAATGGTCCCCAAAGTATAGCCTATGGCTGTAGGAACAGTATGCATTTTCCAAGCCTCTCTCAAGACAGTGATAGCAAAAGTGAATCAAGTTACTTGGTGGATAAAACAAAAGGCAAAAGTCAGAACAACATAGAATACAATGGCTTCAAGCACTCTGGAAATGGGGAGAATTTTATACACAAGCCAGACTGTGCCACTCCAGGCTGTTCCACACCTGTGAGCAACTTGAGTACCAGCAGCCTTGAAAGAGTCTCAGCCAAAGAAGACTCAGGCTCCTTATATTCTGTGGACCATGATGGTTATTACACCTCCATGCATGTTGACTCGGGGCTCAAATCAGGTAAAGCCTGCAATGATAACAATGGCTTTGGAAATGCTAGACATAGTGTCATTAATGTGCTTGACAGGAACGAAAAGAAATTTCTGGGAGATATGTCAAACTGTACTGACAAGTCCCTCTCACGGAGTATATCCTTAAAAAAGGCTAAGAAACCGCCTCTGCCACCATCCAGAACAGACTCTCTGAGAAGGATGCCCAAAAAGAAATCTCAGTCTAATGGACAGGTACTGGATGATACGTTGATTGCTAGTCTCCAACACTCTTTGCAGCTGAACCTGCGGTGCAAAAATGCCAGCTCTCCATCTCAAAGTCCCTCCAGTGATTATGATGACCCTTGGGTACTACGTTCCCGAAGCCAGAGCTCAGTGAGTGCCAGTAGCAGCATGATGTCTGCAACAGGTCTGAACATGTACTCTATCTGTGCTGTCACCCCCTCTCAGAGTGAAACGAGCAGTATCAAATCAGAGTATGCTGACCAGTGGGGTTACTACAGTGATTGTCCTGGGATGCCTGAGGATCAGCTAAAATCCCCAGTGGGTCATTCTGCTAATACTACTCCCAAGCTGAATTATTACAATGCCGGACGCTTTAACAATGGATCAAGGGCTTCTGCACCAAATGTGCCCTCTGGGTTATCTAAACCAAAGATCACTTCTCCAGAAAAATCACATAGAGTGACTTCACCATCAAGTGGTTATTCTAGCCAATCCAACACACCCACTGCACTTACACCAGTGCCTGTCATTCTGAAATCTGGGTCAACGGGAAATGGGAAGCCCAAGATGAAGCCTAAAGTGCCTGAAAGGAAATCATCCCTCTTGTCTTCAGTTTCAGTATCTTCCTCCTCCACCTCACTTTCTTCCAATACATCTGCTGAAGGTTGTGTGAACGCGAAGAAAACTGATCCTGACCTGAACTTCCCTCTTGTTACACCTTCTTCTCTAATGTCTCCTTTCTCTGCTGATAATCTTCCTCCCCCACCACTTCCATCAATGGATGGAATGGATCTACCTACTCCACCTGGATCTCCCAGTTTCCCACCACCTCCACCAGAAGCCATTATAAATGCAACATTTCCTCAGAATGTTACATTGTTTAATTGTCAAGATACCTCAATGGGCCATTTCTTTCCCCCATCACCCCCTCCTTTTTCATCTCCTTTCCCATCTTCATTTGCTCCATCATCACTCCACTTGGACCCAAAACTCACAAAAGAGGAATATAAACACACACCCTGTACTTTCAAAAAATATAATCAGGAAGGTTCTTGTTACAGTACAATAAAGCAACCGTTGAATAAGGACGACATCACTAGATCCACAGTACCTCTAGTAACTACCCAAGCACTGCAAATGGTGCAGTTGAGATCTGTGAAGAAAGCTGCGATGTCAGAGGATGAGCAGTCAGTTGAAGCTGTATCCAGAACCAAGTCTCAGGAAATATTGACTGAAGTTCAATCACCTTTAAAACCATGTGTGTCAATTGGATACAGTGACAGTCTAGATGTGAGTGAAGTGAATCCCCATGGAGTTTTTGACAAAAACTTTGTTTACAACCCTAGCCAGATATCTTACCCAGGGCTCATTGGTAGCTATCCTGAACATATTGGTGGGGAAATGCCTGAAAATGCAGCCAACCCAGCTAATTTTTTTGCCAGCAACCTACTGCCAGCCAGCACTGAAGAAGGACCAGTGCAGAACCAAGGTTCCCACTGTGATCTTCCAAGTCCGTCACTTCAGGGACAGTCAGGATCGTTCAACAAGCCTCCGGGTGTGTCGCCAAACAAGAAGCCACCACCTGTTTCAAAGAAACCCAAACTGTTCCTGATAGTGCCACCCCCACAGTCTGATGTTATAGCAGAAAAAATAGCTGAAGTGGGTGAAACAGGCAGAAGCGTTCTGAGGGATGCTGCCTTTGCACAGTCTAGTGAGGCTAGGGATTATCCTACAGATGGACTTTGTTCCTACGAAATGGACTCAGGCCACCTTGTTCCAGAAGGAGGAGCTGTGGGTCCCCCCTCCTCTGAGACACTGGAAACCAATGGCTTGACACGGAAGTCCAGGCAGGAGGAGCAGCCTTGCGAAGGAATCCGTTCTGACAGAAATGGAGACGGTGTCTCTAGAACAGACAGGCAGCTATCTAAAGAAGAGGAAAGTGGTAAGTCTATTTTTAGTTTTGTTCTCTCTCTTCATCCAAGGGTGAGGCAAACTTGGGATGTGATGTGTCCTAGCAGTCTGTTACAGAACTGACTGTTGCTGTCCATGTAGACACTGTTCCTAATGGAGCTTGCTTAATTGTGTGCAAAGAATTGATTTCTTCTTTCTCCTAATCTTGCATTTTAATAAAATCAGTGGTTGAATGGGATTTTGTCAACCATATCCTTATTTCAACAACTCCTGAGGTGTTTGTAGTTTTTAAATTGAGATACTTCTGATGAAAGAGGGGAAAACCTCAAAACTTAAAAGGGAGTTTTGTATTCCTTAGAATGAAATAAATGCTTTTTCACAGACCAATGCCCCATCTTTCCCCTTCTCCCTTCTCCTACATTACTGCTGATGTGAGCAAAAAGACTAAAATATGACTGTATGTATTTAGGGGAAATGTACAGATTGTATTTGCTTATTTGTTCCTTACCTTGCTGTGCTGGGATTGCTTTCTTTTCTGATTTTGGTAGTTTTAATGCCACTTAATTCTTACGCATGCATTTCAGCTGATGTGTTTGAATCCAATGGGGCAAATAGCTTTTTACCGCAAAGCCCAAGCTATGAGGAAGACAGTGTGGTGGAGGCAATGCCACCCAGACCAAGGACCACGGAAGATCTTTTTGCAGCCATTCACAGGTATTGCTTAAATTGCCTCATCTGTTTTACTCCAATCTTTGCCATTTTAAATCTATATATAGTTTCCCATCACACACATATTGGTTGTTCTTGTTTAACTTTTGATTTAAAAAAACTCACTTTAAATGTATGTAAACCGTAGGTAGAATAATAACATATATGTGTACTTTTTTTTTTACTTTGCAATAGTCTTCCACTAATTTTGAAACTAATCTTCACTAGCAGCAAATGCAGGTTTCATAAATTGTCAACCTTTGTCTCCTTGGTTCTGACTGACTCCTTGTTTATATTGTATTGTTGCTGTCAATCTGCTTGATTTAACATATACTATTGCTTTCTCTGTGTATCTTTTTGTTTTCGTTCCTTCTGCCTTCCATCCCTTTTTACTCTCCTTCGCTGGTTATATGGTGCAGTTTGGGACAGAGGCTCAACTCTAATGCTTCATGGCAAGCTTGGCTTAAACTGGCAAGTAAACATGATGTATCGGTCATATGGCAAAACATATGACAGTAGCTGGATTATAGATTGCCATAATCCAGATGAAGAGGGGATATCTGGGGGCACATCAATTTTGAACCAAACAGTGCAGCACAGACAATCCCTAAGTCTACCTCATTCTCCTTTGATTAAATGAAAACCTATATACTGGGCTTGTACAGATAAATTACTTGGCTACAGATCTTTAGAAAACAACCATTTCTAAGTAGATTTGGGAACACCCTGAAAATAAAGTGACTAATCTTGCCTTGGAATATCAAATATGAAATATTTGGTTCCACCTTGTGGTCATTTACTGAAACAGGTTCTCGAAATGTAATGGAATTGGCTACATACACTTTCCAGATTTCAGCAGAGTACATTCTGTACATATGAGCTACATCCTAAGGGCTCCACACACATGGACTTTCTCATTCTGTTCTATATGTAGGAGGGTCACCATAAATCATTAACAGTTTGACGGCGCAACAATAATTTGCATAGTCTGAATATAAAGAGGTTAAATAAATGCAGATTAGACAGCTTGCTTTTAATTTGTACCTCTGTAGAAAGAGTAATATAATACACAAGTGATTAAGTCTAAATGAAGATTCTTCCCGGAAACCCACAAGTGAATGCCTTACCGTGTCCATATTGAATTAAGTACGTACTCTCTAAAGAAGTGGTATTACTTTGTTACCACTTCTCAATAAGAGAAGGCCAAAGAAGAGGGAATATGCAATTAATATTAGTTCAACATTTGTTTATAGGATGAATTAAAGTGCTTGAATAGCATTAAAATATGGCAACTGCTAATCTGGAAATGACAGTAATTACATTATCTCTTAATTAGTTCTTTTTAAAAATATATAAGCTCTGGTTTTGCCTCACTGAAAATGAATTTATTGTTAAGGGTAGAGTTTCACATCTACACAAGTTCAAGAAACAGCTTTTTAGCTGTTTACCAGCTATACGCAAATTACTATTTTGACAGGAAGGTTACATGCTTGTTTAGCCGCTCTGAGTCCCCCTGCAGGGGTGAGAAGAGCGGGGTAGAAATGTTGTAAATAAATAAATAATAGTAACTAGCTCTTCACAGAGATTATGAAGTAGTATTTATTGCAACTTTCCTGTCAATTCCTTTGGCAAATTCATTGTGAAATTCTTTACATATGTAATTATTATATACTTTGTAGGTTGCATTCATTAAAAAGAGGCCACTGCACTGAAAAAAATAAGGTTTAACAGGATTCAAGGATTTGCTTTGCAAAATATTAATGAAAAATGAAGCATTGTAGATCATACCTAAATTGAATTAATCCTGGGGGAGGGGAATTAAAAAGTATTTTATTTCTAAATTAAGATTCTTGTTATTGAAATACCACCATTTCTTTTTTTTCTAATGCCTTCCCCCTATGATCTGTTATACCTCTATTCATCTACCTGCTTATTAACAAGCACCAGCTTTTTTAAATAGCATGTAGAATAGAAAGCTGATTTTATGCAAATGTCTAATACTGGTTTCCTATTTCTCTCCTGCGCTAAAATTGCAGATCCAAAAGGAAAGTCCTTGGCCGCAAAGACTCTGAGGATGACCGTGCCCGAAACCACTCTCCATCACCCCCAGTTACACCAACAGGTGCCTCCCCGAACTTGGCGTCCCTTAAGCAGGCGGGATCAATTCAGAGGAATATTCGCAAGAGCAGCACCAGCAATGACAACTTCAAAGCCCTGCTTCTTAAGAAAGGCAGTCGCTCAGACACCAGCTCTCGCATGTCTGCGGCAGAGATGCTAAAGAATACAGACCCAAGGTTTCAGAGAGCCAAGGCGGACTCTCCTTGGGACCCCAATGACAGCGCCGCAGGTTGCTCTCCGACCAAGAACAAATGGGCACAGGAAGAATGGGCCAAGAGTGAAGGCCTCATGCCAAGGAGCCTGTCCTTCTCCAGCGCTAGATATAGCCGATCTCGGACCCCACCCTCAGCTGCAAGTAGCAAATACAATGTTCGAAACCGGATCCAGAGCAGCCCTATGACTGTTATCTGTGAAGGCGATGTCGAAGCCGTGGAACCTGCAGAGAGCAGGACTCATAGGTCTTTAGAAGAGGATCAAGTGGAGCAAGTAGATGTGTTTGACAGTGATGAAATGGATCTTAATGAAGATGTTGGTTCCGGTGATGATGCCGCAATGCGCCTGGAGTTGTTAACTTAACTGATGACACCAGATCCTTTAAGGATAGAAATATATCCCTCCTATGAAAAGGGTTGAGTGAGGATTAAGATACAAGGCACAGTGATGTTGGTCACTTCCAGAAAGGTGTATCAGTACAATTTCTTTTGCTAAGCACATAGTGTGTGCTTGGGCATGGATACAGCGATGCTGATAATGATACATGGTGTAGTTAGATGGGACTTTCTGGACTGAACGAAACTAGTAGCCAGACTCACGTAAGCCTTAAAATCCTCTAGAGAAAACTAAAATCAAAAAACAACTCGCCAGATAATGCTGGATTCTGGGTTGCATGTGATTTTTTTCTTTTTCTTTTTTTGGAGGGTGTAAACATTAAAATAAGTCTGCAGCAAAGATGGGAAGCTTCTGTGGTACCGGGTGGCAGTTGCTTTTTAAGTGTTATATTTATGAGTAATCTGTTTTGAGCAGGGACAGTCAGAATGAAAAACGCAGCCTATTAGAGTTAGTGTAGCTGGCATTGTTCCACCTACTTCTTATAGTGTGAGCTTCTCTGCTGGGCATAACTATGTCATAGTAATACAGCCACAGGGCATCCAAGAGTCTGAATTAATATTAAAAACAATAACAGGAAAGAAGAACTGTTGTAACACAGAACTGACTGCTATGCAGTCATATTATGGCCCATCTGTTGGGTTTTTCCATGAGTCATTTCTCCCCTAGATCAATTTACTTTTAATAAAAATTGAAATGTCCTTTGGGCAACATATATAGCTACAGGTTTGTAATAAAAAGGTAAATAATCCAGGGTTGTGGTGAAACAAAATGAGCAAATCGCCATTAGCTTCTTAATTTGAAAGCAAATTTAGCTTAATAGTGGTAGAACTGTTTCCTTTCCAACTTAACTATGTGGGATTTGCATTTCTGACAGCTTGTCTTCGTTAAAACTGGGGAAGATTTTTTAAAAGAACATATCACTTGAAATATCAAACATTTGCTAATGTACGGTTACCAAAGAATACATTACAATAACTTTTGCTGTTTGATCTGGAGTCAGCATTTTCTCAATTTGGAAATCTCATCATTTAGGAAACTGTTTAATTTTATTACTTGCAATGAGTTAAAAATTAACCTTTCCTTATTTGTAAAGAAAGTGACTAAAAAAATCAGCTGCAGTTTTGAACAGTTTAAGAAGCAGCTTTTAATTTTTGAAAACGAGTTTTGCATACATTGATATTGTGTGTTTTTATAATGTTTGCACATAATAGAAGTTCTTAAGATAACGTATGTCCTCCTAATGTTGGGATTTTTACCTTTGTAGATGTTAAGGGGGGAATCATCTATGTAGATAATTTATTTTAATGAAAAACACTTGTCTTCTTTTCACTTCATCTCTGTATATGTTAGTACTGTATATTTCAAGGGCCTTTACTCAAGAAGGGTGGTGACAATGCTGTGACTCTGCTTCAATAAACAAGGCTGCCATTTGTCATTTTTGTGTCTTAAGTTACTAATGTGACGCTTGGAAGCCAATGACTAGCTGTGTTCAGAAAACTCGTTTGTAGTACTAGCAGCAAAGGTTTATGACATTCTGGCCTAGAAGTATTATTGATGTGAACATAAAGTTAAGCACTCAACTAGTGCTGAGGATGCTAAAGCTCTCAATAGCCTTCTCTTTCCATTGTTGGGGAGGGACCTTCATACATATTCAGATTTGCTATAACATATGCTCAGTGGGTGGCGTAGTGGGTTAAACTGCTGAGCTGCTGAACTTGCTGACCAAAAGGTTAGTGGTTCAAATCTGGGGAACGGGGTTAGCTCACATTGTTAGGCCTGGCTCTGCCAACCTAGCAGTTTGAAAACATGCAAATGTGAGTAGATCAATAGGTACCACTTCTGCGGGAAGGTAATGGCATTCCATGCAGTCATGCTGGTCACATGATCTTGGAGACATCTATGGACAACGCCGGCTCTTCAGCTTAGAAATGGAGATGGGCACCACTCCCCACAGTCAGACATGACTAGACTTAATGTCAGGGGAAAACTTGACCTTTCACCTTATGCTCAGTTGAGGTGAGGACAAACATACACATATTTATGGAATGCAGCTTCCATTAACCAACAACAACTAGAGAAAAAGGAGTTGGCAAACCTTCTTTTCCCATTTCAGGAAAGACTGAAAAGCTCATGCGCATGTTATGAGTGCATTAGTGTTGCTGGATCATTACCATTACATTTATTAGAACATGCCACATGTCTGATGACCGAGCTTCCTACATTACAAAACTACATTTTATGTTTCTTTACTCAGTCACTAATGATTTTTCCTTATGTCTTCACTACTCTTGAATTATTAAAACATAAAACTTACATAAAACATTTTTTTTTTGCTTTACACACGCAATATTTGGGAGTTTTGAAAAATAAAGGGTATTTCAGAATTATGGATTCACTTTCAAGGCAGTATATTTCACAATGAGAACATGTTACAATTGCACAAAAAGTTATAAATTCTTGAATGTGCTATCAAGTTTTACTAACCATTTTGTGCCAGAAACAAATCTTTAACAGTAACTCTGCAAATGGAGAATATCTCATTAGGCCTTATGTTGTGGAGTGGCCATCTTGCCACTCCATGACATGAAGGGTTTGGGGCTGTTTGTGCATTAGGAGGAATATTTAGCAGAAATTATTTGAACCCTTTCAAATGGTATGGGTTTCATTCATGGGTGTTTCATGGTTACAAAGATAACAGCAATTTCAGATCGGATCCATCTTTTTGAAATAGCTGTAAACATTCCAATATACCACTAAAAAGTACAAAGCTTAAAATTTTGAATGGTATGAATTTATTAGAGAATCATAACTGGTGAGAAGTAGACTTATTATTGAAACCAGTGAAATAATGCAGTTTTGCAGCATCATATTCCACAGCCAGACAAAGTTGATGATTTGTACTTGAGCTGATGATAGGAAAATTCCATTGTTTTGATCCATCGGTTAGTAAGCATTACAGGATAAAAATAAATTGTAAAAGTCATTAGTTTTCCCCACTAGCAGAGTCATTGACTGCCCATATCTGTTTTGTATCTAAGTGTTTAAAATGAACTACTTTCTATTCTTGGTTCATTTTTTTATAGATCACATTTGCTTAGATAGCTGTGAAATTACTGCATGTCTTTTCAAGTTCACTTAGGCTGTTTAATATAGATTACTGTGGGCAGGCTGTATGTAAGATGACCTGACATACTGTCTGCCCCAGTTTAAGTCTTCACTTTAACTGATATAATACTGATTTTTCATATTTATTTTACATATAATGTATGCATGTTTAGCTTTTGCAGTTTATTCTTCTCTCACCCCCACAGTAATATACACAAGCATAGAAATAGCAATATATTTTGAAGCACCAACACAATTAGCAATTTTCAGTATTATATTAGCACCTGAACAAAATTTCATTAAAAATAAACCAAGAAAATAGCTAGGAATCTCCCCAAGAAGAGGTGAAAGTTAAAATTTTCCCCATGTTAACATATGGAGTCAAGTAGGTATGATAGGAGCCCCCAGTGACACAATGGAATAAAACCTTGTGCCAGCAGGACTGCTGACCGAAAAGTTGGCGGTTCGAATCTGGCGAGTGGAGTGAGCTCTCATCTATCAGCTCCAGCTCCCATTGCAGAGACATGAGAGAAGCTTCCCCCAGGATGGCAAAACATCCAGGCGTCCCCTGGGCAACATAGTTGCAGATGGCCAATTCTCTCACACCAGAAATAACTTGCAGTTTCTCAAGTTGCTCCTGACACGAAAAAAAGTAGGTATGATAGATGCCACATTTTTAGTTTTCTGATGAAAACATCTGGCCAACTTGCCACATTTCATTGTGGCACCATATTGATCAGTCATATGCTACAGGTTTGCAATAAGGAAGAACACACAGCAAGCATATGAAAGTAGAAAATCCACTTACAGAAGGAGCATCAAACTGTCATGAGCTAAAAGACCAAATTCCTTATTCTGCGGATTTCCAAAATTAATGGGATTCTTCACCAAACAAGACACAACCCAATCTCATCTAGGAGTCCCCAGTGGCGCAATGGGTTAAACCCTTGTGCCAGCAGGACCGAAGACCAACAGGTCAGAGGTTTGAATCTGGGAAGAGCGCAGATGAGCTCCATTTGTCAGCTCCAACTCCCCATGCGGGAACATGAGAGAAGCCTCCCACAAGGATGGTAAAATATCAAAACATCTTGGCATGCAACGTCCTTGCAGACAGCCAATTCTCTCACACCAAAAGCAACTTGCAGTTTCTCAAGTCGCTCCTGACACGGAAAAAAAACTCATCTAAATGAAACACCATCTCAATTCCCAAACTGTGATGAAACATTCCTTTGGTAAGGTGTATATTATTGAATATTTATGGTATATAATAAATATTCATACCATGCAATAGCACCAAATTGCAAGAAAGCCCTTTGTCCATTAAGAGCAAAGACCTCAGAAGCCTAAACCTCACTCAGTAATTACTATATTTGGCACATTCTGTGCCTTGAGGCAGGCACCCTATGGCTCCTATTTTTTTGAGAATAACGAACTATAATTTGGTTACTGGAGAAAAGAAACAGGACCAAAGACTGCATCAAGGGATTCTTATTTCCATACTCTCAAATATTTCTTGTTTAAGTCTGAGATTTTATACTCCTGACTTCGGTTGTCTGGAAAACTAGTAATTCAAAAACTCTCAGTACACCATGTGTGTCCGAGTTAAGAAGTTATATAAAAGAGCAATTGCTATTAAAAAGTCATTTTTATCATATCTCCAATGTATGTTTCAAATTCTCTAACTTGTGTTCCACTTACTAGCATGGCACTTAATTTGTTTTTAGATACATGGCTGCATACAAGGTCATACTGCAGTCGATATCACATTGGCACAGAAAATTCAGCAGTGGGAAGAATAGGAAAAAATATTAGAAAGCATTACACACACAAAAATGGATTGAATCTGTTAGAAAAAAATACATTTTGTTAAGGGCACAGTTGGATGTCACAGCTATAATGTGCACCGCTGAGGTTTTAGCTTCTCTTCACAAGCCAAACTTCATTGTGTCTGTTGAGCAATTTGAATGGACTATCATAGCCAGCACTATAATAGTTCTTTTCTTGAAAAGATCTCCCATCCCGCCTCAAGCTTTCAGCAAGAGCCAGTATTTCTTCTTGGTTCTTCTTCGCATTGGCAAATCCTCCAAATGATCTGTTAAATAAATAAAAAAAGCCAGGTGCCATTAAACATTTGCCAAGTAACTATCCAAATGTCTGTACTGGGCCTATTGAGCCTGTGACAAGGAAAAGCTAAGAAATCCACACAAAATTAGCATTCAAACCCAGTATTGGTAGAAAGTTTTCTGCAGATGGACAAAAATTCTAATTATTTAGTATGCTCTGAAAGAATTATATCATTGAGACTTCAATTGATTAGGGTTTCTTAGGCAAGGAAAACCCAGAAAAGGTTTTAGCTGATCCTTCCTCTGAAATATGGCCTACAGCACCTAGTGTTCATTGGTCTCTCATCTAAGTACTAACCAGGGCTGATCCTGCTTAGCTTCCAAGTTCAGATAACATCCGGTACCTTCAGGATATTTATGCGCTTTAAAACAAATTAGTGTGAAGCAGATAAGCTGGTGATCCTAAGGATCTGTCTTTACAGCTTCCCAGCAAGAAATGTCTTGATAAGGCTCAACTTCCTTTTATCAGCATGTATGTCAGAGCCCCCTGGTGGCGCAGCGGGTTAAACAGCTGAGCTGCTGAACTTGCTGACCAAAAGATTGGCGGTTTGAATCCGGGGAGCAGGGTAAGCTCCCGCTGTTAGGCTCAGCTTCTGCCAACCTAGCAGTTTGAAAACATGCAAATGTGAGTAGATCAATAGGTACCACTTCTGCAGGAAGGTAACAGCACTCCATGCAGTCATGCTGGTCACATGATCTTGGAGGCGTCTACGGACAACACCGGCTCTTCGACTTAGAAATGGAGATGAGCACCACTCCCCAAAGTCAGACACGACTAGACTTAATGTCAGGGGAAACCTTTACCTTTATCTTATATCAGTAAGAATGTGTATAAATACAGGAGTAGTGCTGACCAAAAAAACAAAAAACAAATTTCATATTGTGATAATGGACTATCAACAGCATAAAAATGTTCCATGCAATGGTGTAAGCCACTCTATAAACCAGTTCTCTCAAATGCTTGTTGCTAGATCTACATTCAGTTTTGACTTGGGCAATCATTTCTTGGAAGCACTATTATAGCAAACCAGCATCTCTTTAGAGAAATTATATGCATAGCCAACTGGTAGGTAAGAAATCCTAGCAATTACTGTGGGCTGGTACAATGCCTCCAAATTCCACTTGTGTCTGTTGTAAATTCTTGAGCTATTTTTGAGCCTGACCACAAACATAAACCAGAACCTATTACTGCAACCACAATACGACATTATTAAATGTGTAACAAGTACACAACCAGACACAGTGCATACATCTGCACTTGCTCTTTGCTCTGCAATGCCCAGTGTAGAACGCATCTCACCATGGATGTGGATGTGATCACAATGGATGTGATCCTTAATTAGACATGCCGCAATATTACAGGATGTCTATGCCCTACACCACTGGAGAAAATATACTGCTTAGCCAGTATTGCACCACCTGACATCTGTCAGGAAGTAGCAGCCTGTAATGAAAGGATGAAGGCATTGACATCTCCTCTGTTTGAATATCAGCCAGCAAGCCAATGCCTTAAATCAAGAAACAGCTTCCTAAGATCTACAGAGATACTTGAAGAAACATTTCAGAAAGCGAGAGTCCAAAAGTGGCAGCTTAAAACCCAGAACCTCAATCAGTTGCTGATACCAGATGAGAAACTCCCCCCTGGGCACACAGAAGACTAGGCGACTTGGAAGGTGCTGTACAGACTGTGCTCTGGCACCACAAGATGCAGAGCTAACCTTAAGAAATGGATGGGGCTACTTCAATGCAGTCTGAGCCCTGTCACATGAACAATAGAGGACCTTCTTACAGTGACACCAGAGGCACTCAAAAGTGACCAGCTTCTGGTCAAAGGAAATGTAATATATTGCCAAGTTTTTAACTTTGTTTGTGGTACTGGGTTCCAAATCATATTTCCAAGGAAAGGGGATGAGGAGTTTAAAATACAAGAAAAAGATCCCTTTGAATTTGCCTTAAGGTTTCTCTTTTTTTTAACCAGGGTAATGTGCTGAATAATAATTAGGATTTTCACAATTCATAGCAATGAATCTGGGAGATGTTTTTAACCAGGTGTTCGAACATCCATGGATATTTCTTAGCCTTCTTGTTAGTAGGGCTATGGTATCTTCTTGGAGAGGGACAGGCCACAGAATTCAGTATCCAAATTAAACATGGGCATGTCATAATACATCTGCCTATCTTCAAGGCATCACACAATCCTTAATGTAAATATTGACAAAATAGATTGTGTCTGAATAATATACTGTAGTATCACCACAAGGTGGCAGACAGATGTTAGAATACTTCCTTTTAATGAAAGAGGAAGTGCCCCCCCCCCCATTTTTGATTCTTCAAAATCACTTTGAATTCATAATTTCATACCTTCATTGTAAAAGTATAATGCATGCATTAATACACATTCCTTAATTTTATAATTTATGATGTGGGACGATACACTCATTGGGAACAGTGAAGATCTACAATTGCTGTCTAATTGATATCTTCTGAATGAAAAACAAACAAATGTGTGTTTAGCCATAAAATTTGAAATGTTTTGTGGAACTGGGAACTTTTTTCCTGTTTGCTTTTTAAGGAAGGTAAAGACACCAGCCTACAATGTCAAGAGTGTCAAAAAGCCTCAACCAGAAACCATGGGTATGTTACCTTCCTTGAGGGAATTGCATTGGTTGTTTCTTTATGAAATGATTATGTCCGCTTTCAATTTCTCATTAGTATAGGGCAGTGGTTCTCAACCTTCTGAGTGCTGAGACCCCTTAATATAGTTCCTCATGTTATGGTGACCACCCCCAACCATAACATTATTTTGTTGCTACTTCTTAACTGCAGTTTTGCTACTGTTATGAATCGTAATGTAAATATTCTGATATGCAGGATGTAGTTTCATTCACTGGACCACATTTGGCACAAATACCTGATAAGCCCAAATTTGAATACTTGTGAGGTTGGGGAGGGATTGATTTTGTCATTTGGGAGTTGTAGTTGCTGGGATTTATAGCTCACCTACAATCAAAGGGCATTCTGAACTCCACCAGTGATCGAATTGAACCAAACTTGGCACATAGAACTCCCAAGAGCAAGAGAAAATACTGGAAGGGTTTGGTGGGCATTGACCTTGAGTTTTGGAGTGGTAGTTCACCTACATCCAGAGAGCACTGTGGACTTAAGCAAGGATGGATCTGGACAAAAGTTGGCACAAATACTCCATATACCCAAATGTGAACACTGGTGGAGTTTGGGGAAAATAGACCTTGACACTTGGGAGTTGTAGTTGCTGGGATTTATAGTTCACCTATAATCAAAGAGCATTCTGAACACCGCCAATAATAGAATTGGGCCACACTTCACACACAGAATGCCCATGACCAGCAAAATAAATAAAAATACTGTGTCTTCTGATTGTCTTTGGTGACCTGTCTGACACCCCCTCACAACCACCCCAGGGGTCCTGACCCCCAGGTTGAGAAATGCTGATATAGGGTGCTTTGTCACTAAATTTCAGTGACAACCTGCACCATCAATTTCTAGTGTGGGTTAAAGAAACACTAGTTTTACTCCTGCTTTTTAGTTTTACTCTTGCCTTTACACTTTTCCCATCCCCACTTTAAAATCATGGAAGCTTCTGCTCAGCTTCACACCATATTATGAAGACTAATACAGATGTATGATTATGGTTTGTAAAGACCCACTGGCATATAGTTACCTGACAAATACAATAATTGATGACCTGGACTCAATGAAGACACCTGCCTCCAAGGGTTTAGGGGGATTTTGTTGGTGTTGAGATGGTACATAAAAGGACACAGTTGTGGTTGACTCGCAGAATGGGCCGGCACCTGGCTGCACAAAGCATGTCACTGGAGCAGTCATATCTATCGTCTCTCCTGAAAGAAGCAAAATGTTACCTCCTGGAAAAAGCTTTTAAAAGAGACTTTTCAAGCAAGATTTGCACTTCTCTCTTAGCTCAAAGAGCAAACAGTAATAGCACCTAATACATCATTTGAGATCAAAATGGCTTTATCCTCAAGTACTGACAGCTTTAAATATACATAATGCTTGTCATTCATCAAATGCAAACAAAGCCTTCATACCAAGTAAGACTGCTAGTTTTCTAGCTCAATGTCAGAGCCATTGTTCAATTCTACCCCTCTTTTCTTCCATTGCACTCAAAGTAAGTCTGTGGTTCTCTTCTTCCCCACTTTATCTGCTCAAGATGTCTGTTGGGAAGCTCAAACAAAAGCCTGGCCAAAATCACCCAGTTGAGTTTCATATTGGCTATAGGTCTCCATGTCTAAAAACAAATGGTATAGGAAAGGTGTCCTCAAATCTGGACTTCCAGTTAGTTTTAGATTCCTTTATCTGCCAGGTGTTTGTATCAAATTATGCAATGAATTATAGCAGCCCCATGAATTAGCCGAAACTTTAGAAGAGCTAGATAAAGGTCTGAACCTATTTTGGGATAGAGATCAGCACAGATCAAACCTGGAATAGATTTGCCACCTCATCAAAACTCTCACCCACACAATTTATGCCTGAGGCCTTAATATCACTCAACACTGCATCTGAAGAAGTGGGTTTATCTCCATGAAAACTCATGCTAAAATAAAAGTTGTAAAGGTGCTGCTACATTCCTTTTTTACAGCCCCCTCCCTTCCTCCTTTTGATGCTGCAGAAAAGGCTCATACAGCTGCTTTGAATACTGCCCTGTGCCACTAACTATGTTAGGCTCATAATTAAGAACGGGTTGCCCACCTTCTTCTCAATTTGCCAGAATTGCTACTGCCCTTGATCTGAGAGGGTCAGACGGTCTAATACAGTAAGTATCAGCAATAGATCACCATAATTATCCTGTTAATTCATTTGCTCATATTGGGGTAGCCAAACACAGGCATGGAATGCCCCAGCCACTGCTGCACCTCAACCAAAAGCCATGACTCAAACTAAGGAGCCCTTATCTGAGGAAAGCAGAAGGTTCATTTCTAACAGATGCCACAGAAAGCCTTTCATAACAACAGAGTAAGTGCAGAGTAAGAACATGCACTCCTTATACAAAGATAATTCCAATATTCATCAAAAATTATTTCCAGAAGGCTCCAAAACATCCTTATCAATTTTATTGTTTATTTATTGATGATATGGGTATGATCCATCCCCTTGCTCTGTGCTGATAACCACAAGGAAAGGTTAATGGGGCAGTATCCAGACTAAACTTGTATAAATCCAAAGTCAGACATGTCTGGACTTAATGTCAGGGGAAAACCTTTACCTTCAACTATACTGTTTTTTATTGATGGCATTGAATTGTTGCCAACACTGTGAACAGCCCTGAGTCCCCTTTGGGGTTGAGAAGGGCAGTATACAAATACCACAAATAAATAAATTTACAAATGGCAAATGAGGAAATGTGGAAAGTAATGGAAATGGAAAACACAGTATGGTAAGCATCCATTTAACAGTGGCTGCGGATAACAGTTAAAAGATGGAAGTCAGATTTCTACATGTAATGTATATAATACAGTGTATGTTTACTAAACCTATCAAATCTCCTCTGAACAAACTGTGCCTAGAAAACCCCATTGATAGGATTGCCATATGCCAAAAAAGATGTGAAGACACACAACAACACAACAATAAAAACAGTTGCAATAATGAGGATGAAGATAATTATGCCACTGTCAGCTTATATGGGGAAACATGGGTATAAACCAAGAAGTAGAACATTACAGAATATGTATAACCCTATTTACTAATTTGCCTGAATGTATGGAGCTCTAAAAAGCAGGTGGGGATGTGAGGAAACATCAAAGTCCCCGCTCTTTAAATGTCTCAGTAACATACTAGATCTTTGCATAAAGGTATGCAGAAGGCTTTGAAAACATATTCCAGTGAATGCTGCTATGACTTGAGAACCCAGTCTTACCAGTATCCTGTTCACAGGTGCTCTGCAACTGTGTCCAATCAAATATGGTTACAATATGTAAAACACTGGCAGAAAAGCACACTTCGTAATGTTTGCTTCCACTACATCTGCTACTTTGAAGCCACAAAATTATATTCTAATACAAGGCGAACCAAACAAATCATACCTCTGTCATTTTTGCCCTTAATATAGTTAAAGAGCTTTGTGAAGCCAGTATTGATAGCTGAATCCCAGTTCATGGTTGTAACAGATGTGCTCACCCATTTGGCTGGTTCATACTGTCGAATTTCATAATCAGGACCCTTGACAAAATACAGAAAGTAAGTCAAGATATTGTTTTCTTAAATATAAGCACTTATTCACAGATTCATATGAGGCAGAGAAAAGCAATTATTATTACTATGATTATTATAATATTTATATGCCACGTTTTCCCTCTTAAGAAGACTCAAAGCAAGAAAATGTGTTTCTTACTACTTCAGTTCAGATGAAAGAAATGACTTTGCACAATGCACTTTATTACTGTGTTGTTAAAAATAACTTTTTGAGAAATATCCAGAGATTGTAGCTAAATTATGGACTTTTAAAAAAACACAAGCGATTTCTGCTATTTTGGACAGGAATCATCTTGGTGATTTAGTCTGATGTATCTGAGGGTTTCACCAGCCCCAATATTTTTTCAGGCAAGGATTTTATGCCTCCTTCTGAAATAGTTTTTGTGAGGTTGTGCCATGGCTTCCACACTGTGCCAGATACAGATCCACCCCCAAATCAAATAGCCGCTCATTGGTTGTGGCAGGAGAATACTGTTGCGTTACCACCCAGCTGCCAACCACAGCCTTCCCAGACACCCCACCAGCCTCAACAGAGCCTCCAGTGGTGCAATGGGTTAAACCTTTCTGCCGGCAGGACTGAAGGCTGACAGGTTAGAGGTTCGAATCAGGGGAGAATGTGGATGAGCTCCTTCTATCAGCTCCAGCTTCTCATGTGGGTACATGAGAGAAGTCTCCCACAAGGATCAAAACATCTGGGCATCCCCTGGGCAACATCTTTGAAGATGGCCAATTCTCTCACACCAGAAGTGACTTGCAGTTTCTCAAGTCGCTCCTGACACGTTAAAAAAAAAAACAGCCTCAATAGGCCAAAAATATAAGGACCAATGGTCTGGGAGGGCTTCCTCCATTTCCATTCATGGGAACAAATATTGGCAGCTGTAATCTTATTTTGGAACTGGTGATTATGGCAGGGCATTCTCTGCCCCACCAAAATCCGCAATTTGGCTTAAGGGATGCCAAATAGGTTGAATCACATACAAAGCTTTCCTTGCTAGCACTTCACGGTTTCTTTTGCACTTTACTCTTTGCATAGTGTCCATTCTCTTTGCCTAGTGCCATGGAGCACTGCCCCAATATGCATTACATGGCACAAACAAGGCCACATCTACACTAACCTTTTAATGCAGTTTCAAAGCAGTATCGAAGAAAGTGATCTTCCTGTGCAGATGACTCCTTAAGAAACCCTGGAACCAGTTTGAAGCCCGAATGGTGATTATACAAACCACAGAGCATTAAGGTCTTTCTTTCAAGCATTTTTCTGGGAATTTGTTTTCTGGCTACCACAGTTTGAAACTAACTTTGAATGGTCAGTGCAGAAGGGGCCCAAACATAGCATCTGCTGGAATGCTGTCCACATGGCAGTCAGGGATCTTTTCTAATGAGTCAGGAAACATTTTCTTTGATACACTAAAATCAAGACAGGTATCCCCCTGTAGTAAGCAGCAAGCATCTTAAGCAAGATGCATGTATATAATGAGGGAGTGGAGAAATTGTGGTGAACAGCTTCAGGAATGGCCACTCCCATCCCTCAGCGTCTGCACATGACACAGCTACCTTACCCTGCTTAGTGCCAGGGTGCTCCTTATGAAAGCACATTACATATAAATACATAAGGAAGGAGGAAGGACACCAGAATGTGTCGTTGAATGAAAAATTATATTGAATTACTCCACTAAGGTGACACACATTTGGATATGTGCAATATATTCCTGGATCATCCAATGAAGCCTACAGTTGCTTGAATGGGAAACTGGCACTGGTGGTGCAGATATTATGGTGACAGCTCTATTGTTTGCACTATTCATGAACCATTCATACATGAAGTCCTAGACCAGCAACATGCCATCTAGTGTTCAAATCCTGAAAATTCGTCCTGCAACTTGGTTTCAGAACTCAGTCCAGGTACAAGCAGAAAGTTGAATGTATTGTCAAAGGCTTTCATGGCCTGAATCACTGGGTTGTTGTAGGTTTTTCGGGCTGTATGGCCATGTTTTAGAAGCATTCTCTCCTAACGTTTTGCCTGCATCTGTGGCAAGCATCCTTAGAGGTTCTTTGGCATACATGCAAACCTCCTCTCTATGAACCTGTCTTTAATACTGGTTAAAACTCCAGAACTTTAAATACACTTCACCTCATTCGATCCTAAGATCTACAGAGATACTCGCAGGAAAAACACAGCAAGCAAGAGTCCAAAAGTGCAGGTTAACACCTGGAACTTCAATTAGTGCAGTGGTTCTCAACCTTTCTAATGCCGTGACCCCTTAATACAGTTCCTCATGTTGTGGTGACCCCCAACCA